GGTGCTGCAGGGATTTTTAGGTGTACCTCTTCGGGCTCTTGGATACCTTTTTCTTTAATAATATGTGTGCGTGTTCTGTAGATCCTCAGATGGCTCTAGCACTTTCGTGNTTATGCTGTAGTCGGCAATCTTCCGTTTTGGTATAGAGTGGGACAGGGAGGGGGTGATGCTACTGTAGTCGAACGGTGGGACGGACGTGCAGTTCAGTTTTTGGGCACGCATACGGTGCTGCAGGGATTTTTAGGTGTACCTCTTCGGGCTCTTGGATACCTTTTTCTTTAATAATATGTGTGCGTGTTCTGTAGATCCTCAGATGGCTCTAGCACTTTCGTGACCACGGGCTGAGAATCTTTTGCTAGATTTTGGCATTTGGCAACTGACATACGGTTTAATGTGAAGACAACAACAACAACAACAACAGTACAGATTGCACCCGCACCAAAGAGCGTCAAATTTGGCGTGAGGCTCGACGCTTATTGGCTGCCTCAACCCCAGCACATCTTCCTATTGCCATGTTCTTATTCCGATCAGACATTTGGTCGCTGAAAACGGGGTCCTTGTTCTTATTTCACCGTCGAGTGCTCCAGAGGCGCACCAGGACGCCCTTGGTGACTCGCAGCTATGTACATACATCGATGGGACGTGGAAATTGGCGTGGAATTTCATGCGGATAAAAAAGTTGCATCATCCCCATACAGCACGTCCATACTTCGCCGTACCATGCCCATATTGTCCATTCACCAGGCACCAAGATTACTGGCCGTCGACTTGGCCGCATGTTTGTACAACAGACTTAGACCGGATCACGCACCGCAGCAGCTGTGCTCGCGGTTGAGTACAAATATGAAAACAAACTCCGAAGGCTTCAACCTTCTTGGTCGATAAGGGTCACGTTCGGCCTGCGTTCCCTTCCTGCTCTACTAACACCCAACGTGGCTGCAGCTCCGCCCCCATCCACCTGCTCGACCGTGCTCCTCTCAAGCAAGATCCACGAGCCCACCACCGTATACGAATCTCCTCTGTACATTTCCAACGGCAGCTTTATGCTGCGCGTACTTTGGTCTAGGTCGAGATGCACACGGTAGTCGTAAAGGTGGCGAGTGCGCTCCTGAGAGTGGTCCCCCTCACCCTCAACCGTCTGCTGACCGCTTTCCGGATGCAGACGACGCGGCAACGTGGTCTGAAGACAGTGTAGGGCGAGCGATGTTGATGATGCCCGAGATGTCTCCATCAACCTACGTGGTCCACTCTTCTTCCGAGAACACGCCGCTGCTCCTCAGGTCCCATGCCAAATCGAAGGCCTCCCAGTCTTCGCTCGAGAGGGAGTTGCACTCCCTCACATGTTTCTTGATCACCTCGTACTGTCGTTCAAGGATCACGCTCTTTGCGTTGAGTGCTGCGAGCTTCTGGAGTTCCCTCAACGTCGCCAAGGGCAGCGACATGGTCGCCCTTCGTGCAGGCAGAGGGCTTGTTGCGTGGCACGCACCCGAGGAAGCCCGAGGGCCGCATGACGTGGAATCGGCCGGCGATGGCCTATCGCGCGTAGATATATGTGTAGATGTGCCAGTGGGGTCGTGGGTTTGCGCGTCTCGATGTTGCTTGCGATCAAAGTGTGTTTCTTAGGCCTTCGTGGGCTGGGAACAGCAGGGAAATTGAACACTGAAACAGGGGGGGCACGCGACATCAGCTGACACGAGCTAATTGCGCCGCTTCCTCTGTATCTACCTAATTGCGCCGCTTCACTTTCTCTCCAACTCTCTCTCTCTCTCTCAACTAACTGCAATTCCCTCATAAGCTCATCATTCCAACCATAAACCAACACCTTCTCAATTCTAGTCTCCACCTCATACTCTTTCTTGACCTTCCTTCCATCACGCCTTTATTATATATACTGCGATTAAACTACCCCAAGTCTTCTTACACCGACCAAGACTAGGGTTGACTTATTGCACGACATATTTCGTCTGGTTTTTACGCATCCTGCGGTGGCATGTAGCGCCAGGGGGCCCACGACATGTCAGGATTCGAGATTGGATGGAGGCCTAGAGCGGCCGAGCGGCCACCACAGACCACACAACCCACGGTAGAGAGCGAGAGCCAAGTAAGTGCAGCACGGGCACCACCATGTCAACCGCCTCTCTTATGCTAGAGAAGAATGCTAGCTCCGACTGGGTGATTAACAGGATGAAGGGCACCAACCAACTGGGGCGACAAACCGAACGTAGGCCATGCTAGTCTGTTCCAGTTCTTGCCAGGGTTTTACGCTGCCATGAGCGTGAAGGAGAGCGACAAATGCTACAGCGAGCCTGATAGAAATGCAGAGGCAGTCAAAGTTTACAAAAGCTTCGCTGTGCCGGCATTCCCTCGCTGGTTGGTAGAGGAATACGACTTCACCAATACCCTAGCTTGGCTCACGAAGGACATCATGGGCCGCGACTCGATGGGACCTAAAATCTTGCTGGAAGTGCCCAATAAAGGTGATGAATGGATGACAGCTACGATGCTTGTGCGATGCGCTTGTTCAGGAGTTACAGCAGTAGTTCTACCTAAATAAGCCAACTGAGGCAACATCGCAACGTGTGCCCTGGTCGGAATTATTCGGAGTGTCGTGTACGCCACCTTGACGAAGAGGATGCATCCAATCGAAACTAGGTAGTAGTCGGAAAGCTCTCGACGAGATGATTCCTACACCGCCATTTCCGCCACCACCACTGTTTAGGGGTGTTTGTTTGTTGTTGTTGTTGTTTCCCACATTAGCTCTATAGTCCACAACAAATGGGGAGCACGTGGTCTCAAAACCCGGCACGTACGACGCCGCGGGGAAACAAAACAAAAATAGGGTNGGAGGGGGAGGCAAAGGATGCCTCCAGCGGAAAGCCCGTCCCTGTCGTCGTGCCTGCTAATGCTACGTTGGCGAATCGCAGCTGGTGCTGTTCGAAAACCAAGACAGTCACGTCGATTTGTCGCGGGTGTCTCAAACGATGGCATTGCCACGTCGACCATGGGCTGATTGACCTCACCAAGGATCGCTTTACTTGCTGCTTCTGCGATACCAAGACGAAGTCGGCATGTCGGTGTCACGCGTGAGTACCCAATTTCGTTTTCCGCTGTTTAGTTTCTTTGTTGGGCTTCTTTGTTCATTTGCAATTCTCTTTAATGATGTGACCAAGAGTGATGTGCCAGATCGAGTTCTCGGATGCTTCTCGCGCACGTGGGTTCACCCAATTCGATACCACCCATGTGTTTTTTCGAGAGGAATATGCAACGATATCTTGACTTCCACAGCGCTCTCGCAGTCTGGTAGGTTGTCACCTGTTTTGACCTAGCTGCTCCGGGAATGTCGCTGGTGGTCTATATCGACTCCAAAATTTCTGGTTGCTTGACCATCGGTGTTCGTTAGGGTTTCACCCTCTCGCAGTGCGACCAAGACCAAGACCGACAGAAGACCGAAGCGTCCACAATACGACCTGCTCTCAGCGTGCATACTGTTAAGTATACTCATTGTCCCCCTTTATTTTTCCCACCATGACATGCTTCGTACTCGTACAGGTGCAACAAGAAGAAAGGTTATAAGCGAGCGGCATCCCAACGAGCTCAAGCCGGCCACATCCACGGGAGTAGCGTCTCCCGAGTGGTTCACCGTCAGACTCGAATCAGCGCTTTGAAGCTCCATCTACCTCTCACGGTCGCGGCGGGCAACTCTAGCGATAGAGAAAAGGCGCTGCTTTCGGTTTCCACTACCGCCCGCGGCGACCGTGTCATGGTCATCACCGACGTCATCGCTGAGCAACCTGGTGCGCCTGCAAGCTGCATCGTGAACTGCTGCGATAACCGATGCCACAAGTGAGTCGATGTAGTTGTTGGGGGATGTCACGAAACAACAGTGCTTGTGTGGTGTTCGATACTCTTCCTTCTCAATGGCAAATCTCCGATCGAACCTTCACGTGTTTGTTGGAATTCAACGCTTTTATAACGCATTTTGGAAAAAACAAAACATTTGCAGGGCACAGATAGGGGCAGTAGGGGCCCGGCCGTTCTGCATTCTCATTTTATTTTTCGATAGTTGCTGCTTTCTACATTTATCAGAAATTAGTCGGCATGATATTTTTCTGACGACGCACTGTCACTTTCATGGTTGCTTTCGTATGGTTTTGCAGTGTTCAAGCGGAACCCGAGCTCGCGCCAAACGCCGAGCAGGTTGCAGCGGGCCAATATGAGCACGCTGACGTCATTCTCGGAGATGGGACCACTCCGAAGGCGGATATTCCTGAAGCAGAGCCGGTTATCTTTGGCAAGGATGGGGAAGGGATCGAAAGCGTTGG